GAGAGACCAGTGAGAGAGACAAGTGAGACCAGAGAGAGAGAGAGAGAGAGCAGACAGAGACCAAAGTGGGGCCAGGTAGAAAACTGAGAGAGAGAGACCTGAGAGAGACTAGAGAGAGACCAGAGAGATCAATGAGAGACTAGAGAGAGACCAGAGAAAGACCAGTGAGAGAGACTAGAGAGAGACCAGAGAAAGACTAGAGAGAGACCAGAGAGAGACCAGTGAGAGAGACTAGAGAGAGACCAGAGAAAGACTAGAGAGAGACCAGAGAGAGATCAGAGAGACCCAAAAGAGACCAAAGAGAGACCAGAGAGAGAGACCAGAGAGAGACCAGAGAGATGCCAGATAGAGACCAGACAGAGACCAAAGAGATGCCGGATAGAGACCAGACAGAGACCAAAGAGAGACCAAAGAGAGACCAGAGAGAGACCAAAGAGATGCCGGATAGAGACCAGACAGAGACCAAAGAGAGACCAGAGAGAGAGACCAAAGAGAGACCAGAAAGAGACCAGAGAGTGACCAGAGAGAGACCACAGAGAGACCAGAGAGGGACCAGAGAGAGATCAGAGAGAGAGACCAGAGGGAGACCAGAGAGAGAGACCAAAGAGAGACGAGAGAGAGACCAGGGAGAGACTAGAGAGAGACTAGAGAGAGACCAAAGAGAGACCAGAGAGAGACCAAAGGGAGACCAAAGAGAGAGACCAAAGAGGGACCAGAGAGAGAGACCAGAGAGAGAGACCAAAGAGAGAGACCACAGAGAGACCAGAGAGAGACCAAAGAGAGACCAGAGAGACCAAAGAGAGACCAGAGAGAGAGACCAGAGAGAGAGACCAGAGAGAGACCACAGAGAGACCACAGAGAGACCAGAGAGAGACCAGAGAGAGACCAAAGAGAGACCAGAGAGAGAGACCAGAGAGAGAGACCAAAGAGAGACCACAGAGAGACCAGAGAGAGAGACCAGGGAGAGACCAGAGGGAGACCAGAGAGAGACCACAGAGAGACCAGAGAGAGACCAGAGAAAGACCAGAGAGAGACCACAGAGAGACCAGAGAGAGACCAGAGGGGGGGGACAGATCTGATTTGGGAAGTGATTCCTTAATCACTGTTGGGCCGGTTTTGGCGTGTCTGAAATCCAACAGAGGAAGTGATTTGAACGGAGGGTTCCTGTTTGCTGGTGTTTCCTCGGCTCTGCTCACACCAGCACTGAGACCATCTGGGGGACTTATGGTTGTATACAGTCATTTGAATGATAAATAATGACCTTTTAAAAAATGTTTGTCATTTGTAGCAACCCAGGAATGTACAAGAATGGGAGGGATTTTGCCAAGAAGAATGGGCAGATTTACAATAACAGAGACAAGAGAGAGCCCGGAGAGAGACCAGAGAGAGAGTAGAGAGAGAGAGAGAGACCAGAGAGACTTGAGAGAGGTACCAGAGAGAGTAGAGGGAGAGGGAGAGAGACAGAGAGAGAGAGACCAGAAAGACTTAGGAGATGTACCAGAGAGAGAGACCAGAGAGAGAGTAGAGAAAGAGAGGGAGAGACCAGAGAGAGAGACCAGAGAGAGAAACCAGAGAGACTTGAGAGAAGTACCAGAGAGAGAGTAGAGAGAGAGAGGGAGAGACCAGAGAGAGAAACCAGAGATACTTGAGAGAAGTACCAGAGCGAGAGTAGAGAGAGAGACCAGAGAGTGACCAAAAAGAGAGACCAAAGAGACTCACGAGATACCAGAGAGAGAGGCCAAAGTGAGAGTAGAGACAGAGAGACCAGAGAGAGACCTGAAAGAGACCAAATAGAAAGAGGCCCAAGAGAGAGTAGAGTGAGAGACCAGAGAGACTGCCAAAGAGTAGAGAGAGAGAGACCAGAGAGACCAAAAGAGAGGCTCAAGAGAGAGTAGACTGAGAGACCAGAGAGACAGCCAAAGAGAGACCAGTGAGAGAGACCGGTAAGAGACCAGAAAGAGACCAGAGAGAGACCGAGAGAGACCAGAGAGAGGGACTAGAGAGAGACCAGAGAGAGACCAGAGAGAGGGACTAGAGAGAGACCAGAGAGAGACCAGAGAGGGACTAGAGAGAGACCAGAGAGTGCCCAGTTTCTTAGTGGTTTGTGTTGTTGGTGCTGGTCCTGGTTGTGCGTATTTCAAAGAGCAGCAGGGGGTTGTGTTGTTGTGTTGTGTCATTATGTGTGTCCCTTAATGAGAGCGTTGTGGTTTGAAGTTTTATACCAGTCTTAAACTCACATCTGCTCGGACTTTCAACTCCTGCCAGTTTTTGGCAAAGTATTTTAATAAACTGTTTTATTATTACTTTCATTTTTTACTCAACATTTGAAACTTATTGTTGGCTTCAATCTGTGGCTTCGTTAAAATGTACACGTCTGTTTTCACATTCTTGGAAAAGAGACCAGAGAGAGCAGAGAGAGACCAGAGAGAGACCAGAGAGAGAGACCAGAGAGAGAGACCAGAGAGAGAGACCAGAGAGAGGCCAGAGAGAGACCAGAGAGAGAGACCAGAGAGAGGCCAGAGAGAGGCCAGAGAGAGACCAGAGAGAGACCAGAGAGAGAGCTGAGAGAGAGACCAGAGAGAGAGACCAGAGAGAGGCCAGAGAGAGACCAGAGAGAGAGACCAGAGAGAGGCCAGAGAGAGACCAGAGAGAGAGACCAGAGAGAGACCAGAGAGAGAGCCCAGAGAGAGACCAGAGAGAGAGACCAGAGAGAGGCCAGAGAGAGACCAGAGAGAGAGACCAGAGAGAGACCGGAGAGAGAGACCATGGAGAGACCAGAGAGAGGCCAGAGAGAGACCAGGGAGAGACCAGAGAGAGACCATAGAGAGACCAGAGAGAGACCAGAAAGAGAGACCAGAGAGAGACCAGAGAGAGAGACCAAAGAGAGACCAGAGAGAGACCAGAGAGAGAGACCAGAGAGAGCGACCAGAGAGAGAGACCAGAGAGAGACCAGAGAGCAACCCGAGGGAGACCAGAGAGAGAGACCAGAGAGAGACCAGAGAGAGAGACCAGAGAGAGACTAGAGAGAGACCAGAGAGAGACCAGAGTGACACAGTTTTGTCCTCATTTTTTGCACTGGTACCAGAGTGGTCGGACCAGTTCGTTTCGCCCTGGTGCTCTGGGGGATCGGGTTCCCTGTATCCATCATGAGGAGCTGGGACAGTGGTGTCTGCGTTAGCCAGGCGGAACTGACCCACACACATACGCATACGCACACACACACACACACCCACGTAGACACAAACACACACACACATACGTAGACACACACACTAGAACTGACACGGAGCGCATTGTTTTCAGTGGAAGCTCTAGTCTCTGGGCCTAAACGTGCATTCCTGAGATCACACTCTCACAGACACACAGACAGACATACTCTCACACACACACACACACAGTCATAAAAACATATATACTCACACACACACACACAGTCATAAAAACATATATACTCTCACACACACACACAGTCATAAAAACATATATACTCTCACACACACACACAGTCATAAAAACATATATACTCTCACACACACACACAGTCATAAAAACATATATACTCACACACACACACACAGTCATAAAAACATATATACTCACACACACACACAGTCATAAAAACATATATACTCTCACACACACACAGGCGTATAGTATCACACACGGACACACACACGTAGACGCATACACACATACACACAATCTCTTACGCATACACACTCACAGACATAAAAACACATTGTCTACACACGTGACGTACAAACATACTGTTTCCTACACCTACACGTACACACACAAACACTTATGTCGCCATATATATTATACATTTATATATTACATATAAATGTGTGTGTGTCCCTCTGTGTATACATATAAATGTGTGTGTGTGTGTGCATCTGTGTATACAAATAAATGTGTGTGTGTGTGTGTGCATCTGTGTATACATATACTGCATTTTATGTATAGGTATGTGTGCGTGTCTCTGTGTGTGTGTCTGTGCGTGTGAGTACCTAGAATGAATTTGCATAATATGGAAAACCAAAGTTTCCTGGAAAGAGAGAGAGAGAGAGAGAGAGAGAGAGAGAGAGAGAGAGAGAGAGAGAGAGAGAGAGAGAGAGAGAGAGAGAGTTTGGGAGTTTTCTCTCTGGCCCCAGAGCTCCCGCCCCTCCCCTGCCTGAAACCCACAACAAGTGACGGACCAATGAGCGTGAGGGGAGCCGTGTGGAGCAGGGCGAGAAGGGGGGAGGAGGAGGGGGGAGGAGGAGAGGAGGGGACTGCGAGACCAAAGACCCACACACACCGGAGACCCTGTTTTTGTTCCTCTGTGCCCTGTTTGTACGCGCTCCGTGGACGTGGATCAGCCTCAAACGCCACACTACACACACGGACCAGGACCCAGGAGCCAGGACCAGGACCCGGGACCAGCTATGAGGACCCCGGGACTCCCCTCTCGTCTTCCCCCCCTGGAGCTCACTTTGGAATAAACCTCACTCTCACGGATTTGTTGGAAAGTTTTTTTGCTGGCCCTGGCGTGGCTTTTACGCGTACGCTCCCGGGCTATGTGTACGGATAACGGGAGACTCGCTTTTATGGAGAAGTTATGGAGAAGTTGCGGAGAATGACAAAAGACGCGGAGGTCTTGGATCGAGCCTCAGCAGAAGACATGTTGTATTCCTGGTAAACGGAACCAGCGAGAGTATTTTGCAACCTTCACATGGTTTCACACCCAGACCAAATTCGGACGCTTTCCTTCGGCATTTGCCACGGCGCCAATAAATATATATATACTTGTTTTCTTCCACTTGTGGTAAACCAGTGAGTCAGTATATATGATTTCTTCAACTTTCAGACCAATGGAGAATCAGTGACTTCTGCAGACTGCTGTAATGACGTGTCTAACTTTGACATAAGCGCAGCAAAAGTTTCATATTAAAGGATCCGTGGTGAAGTTTTGACGCGGTGAAGTTTACGCTTATGCGCCCGCTGTGAGGGAGTGCGTCATGGCCATGTCTTGGCGTCTGCGCTCGCCCCTCGGCTCTTTCCTCCTACTGCTTTTCTCCTGTTTGTTTGCGTGTAAACCCTGCCACAGTCGGCGCCTCATCTGCTGGCAGGCCATCATGAACTGTCAGGCCGAAGCCGAGTGCAACTACGCGTACGAGCACTACAGCCGCGCCTGTGGACCCGTGCTCACCGGGGAGCGCAGAAAGTGCCCGAGTCACTGCATCTCGTCCCTGGTGCAGCTGAACCTCACCAAGAGCGGGCCTGCGCTGGAGGACTGCAGCTGCGCCCGGGACGCCGTGTGCCTGAACACGAAGCGGGCCATCGAGCCGTGCCTGCCCCGGACCACCAGCACGGGATGCACCGAGGCCCGGCGTCAGTGCGAGAGGGACCAGCAGTGCAGCTCCACCATGCACGACTACCTCAAGCACTGCGGGAAGCTCTTCAGCGGGGCCGTGTGCACCAACGCCTGCAGGTAACTGATCCAGGGTCAGTCGGGTTGGACATTAGTAGAAACACCACATAAGTATATATACCTACAGTATGTGGTCTGTCTACTCATGTAAAATGTGTAAAAGTACCTCAGTCAGAACCAACACCTGTGGGGGACTGTTTGTTTGGACATTAGTAGAAAGACCACATAGTATACAGTATGTGGGCTTCTACTAAAGTGTGTGCAAGAATGATAACCTCCGCCTGATCCAGGGTCAGTTTGATGGAGGATTAGTAAAAGACCAGATAAGTATATATATCTACAGTATGTGGTCATTCTACTAATATGAGTAAAATGTGTAAAAGTACCTCAGTGAGAACCATATACGTAGACGGAAACTTTATTACACACTCAAGGTCCAGATCAACACAAATGCAGACAAAAGAAAAGAAAAAAATAAATTCTACTAATATGAGTAAAATGTGTAAAAGTAGTAGAATGACTAGATACGTATACTGTACAGATACGTATATATACCTACAGTACAGATACATATATATACCTACAGTAAAGATATGTATATATACCTACAGTACAGATACGTATATATATACCTACAGTACAGATACGTATATATACCTACAGTACAGATACATATATATACCTACTGTACAGATACGTATATATACCTACAGTACAGATACGTATATATACCAACAGTATAGATACATATATATACCTACAATACAGATACTTATATATACCTACAGTACAGATATGTATATATACCTACAGTACAGATACGTATATATACCTTCAGTACAGATACGTATATATACCTACAGTAAAGATATGTATATATACCTACAGTACAGATACGTATATACCTACAGTACAGATACGTATATACCTAGGTACAGATACGTATATATACTACAGTACAGATACGTATATATACCTAGTACCACAGTACAGATACGTATATATACCTACAGTACAGATACGTATATATACCTACATGTACAGATACGTATATATACCTACAGTACAGATACGTATATATATACCTACAGTACAGATACGTATATATATACCTACAGTACAGATACGTATATATACCTACAGTACAGATACGTATATATACCTACAGTACAGATACGTATATATACCTACAGTACAGATACGTATATATACCTACAGTACAGATACGTATATATACCTACAGTACAGATACGTATATATACCTTCAGTACAGATACGTATATATACCTACAGTACAGATATGTATATATACCTACAGTACAGATACGTATATATACCTACAGTACAGATACGTATATATACCTACAGTACAGATACGTAGATATACCTTCAGTACAGATACGTGTATATATACCATCAGTACAGATACTTATACATACCTATGTGGTCTTTCTACTAATGGCCAAGTGTGTAAAATGTATAAAAGTACCTCAGTGGGACTTAATGTTGGACATTAGTAGAAAGGCCGCGTACAGTAGGTATAAATCGGTAACTGATCCAGAATCAGTTCTTTTGCCATTTGCAGTAAAAACACATTGGAATGTAAGTGAAAAATATTGTCCTTGCCCCTGAACAGAGTGAAAGGATCTTATACTAATACTAACATACAGAGATTTTAAACATGCTCCTTTATGATGCTAACGCTAGAGATTTATAACTGTCTATATTTTTGTGAAACTATTGAAGCTAATGTAGCATGTACATAGACCATTGTGAGATATTTAAAGTCTTTCTCATATCTTTAATTATTTCGTTAATTTGCAGTAAAACCACGTTGGAATACACGTGTCTGTAGTTATTGTTGACCCGAGCGCAATTATGTCTGAGGAGTCTCGATTATCTTAATTAGTAGATCCTGTTTGATGTGTACATAATCTGTTATAACTTTGACTTTGAAAAACTCCTCTCCACGTCTGTCCTTTTCCCTTTTTGACTTTGAAATTTCACCCCGAGACAGAATAACGTTTTATTCTTCTATCTTAAAACATGTGCAAAAGTCCTCAGTGTGCACCAGACATGTACAAGAATAGAACTAAAGTAAAAGTAATGTTTATTTATATAGCGCATTTTACAGACCAAGGTCACCCAAAGCTCTTTACAATGTTCAGAAATCAGATATTTTTCCATCCTCTCCACACGATGATGACAGGAGCGAGACGCAGAACACACTGGACCATCAAAACCTCCGAACAAACACCATCCATTCACTCATTCATCACATTCAGATCTATTGTACATGTTTTTAGTGGTAGGGGAAACTGGAGCACCCGGAGGAAACTTAAGCAGAAAGTCCCTCTTCAACCGGGATTCTAGTATGCAGGACCTTTCTCACTGAGAAGCGAGAGAGCTAACCACTCAGCCACCAAGCTAAAAATGACAAAAAAACAATTGCATCAGCAGTTGCAGAACAGTAAGAGTAATGAGCACACAGCACAAGATAAATAAACAATAACTTTATAATAAAATAAAACAACCCTAGCTTTAGCATAATGAAAACGCAAGTATAAAATCTCTAGCTTTAGCATTATAAAGAAGCAAGTATAAAATCTCTAGCTTTAGCATAATAACGAAGCTAGTATAAGATCTCTAGCTTTAGCATAATAAAGAAGCAAGTCTAAAATCACTAGCTTTAGCATTATGAAGAAGCAAGTATAAAATCTCTAGCTTTAGCATAATAACGAAGCTAGTCTAAAATCTCTAGCTTTAGCATAATAAAGAAGCTAGTATAAAATCTCTAGCTTTAGCATAATAACGAAGCCAGTATAAAATCTCTAGCTTTAGCATAATAACGAAGCCAGTATAAAATCTCTAGCTTTAGCATAATAACGAAGCCAGTATAAAATCTCTAGCTTTAGCATAATAAAGAAGCTAGTATAAAATCTCTAGCTTTAGCATAATAACGAAGCTAGTATAAAATCTCTAGCTTTAGCATAATAACGAAGCCAGTATAAAATCTCTAGCTTTAGCATAATAACGAAGCTAGTATGAAATCTCAAGCTTTAGCATAATAACGAAGCTAGTATGAAATCTCAAGCTTTAGCATAATAAAGAAGCTAGTATGAAATCTCTAGCTTTAGCATAATAAAGAAGCTAGTATAAAATCCTGTATATAGTTGTGAGTTTACATCCGTGTCCTGAGGGTCTGGTAAAGTAAAGTGACCGTGGACACTTCTTGCTGCTTTACACAAACACAAATGAAAACAAATATTTCTGATTCTCAGGAACGTGATCGCCAACATGCGGCGGATCCCCAAAGGGCAGCAGCTGGACACGTGTCTCTGCGACGGGACGGAGAGGGCCATCTGCGAGTTCGTCAAAGCTAGCATGAAGACCCTGTGTTTCGAGTCTCCCCCCGAGCGGGAGGAGAGCAGCGGGTGGGTGAGGAGGATGGACGTGGACTCTGAGGACGATGACGACGAGCCCGATCTTCTGGACTATTACCATGAGCCGGAGAGCGGAGGCCTGGCCCTGAGCGGAACCCTGACTCTGCTGCTAGCTTCCACGTTAGCGACGTTAGCTTTGGTTTAAAACCCGGGGGGGACATGAATTTGCGCTAACACTGCAAAAAGTGATGAGGATCGAGTCAAAAATTGCGCAAACTTGGGTAAAAATGTGTCTTAATTTGAGCATGTTTTCAATTCGATTCTATGTATTTTTGTGTAGCTCTAAATCACAAAAGTAGATTTCTCGGAGGACTTTACAAAGCTGTCGATTCGCCGACACGGATCAGAGAATCAAAAAAACTCATAGAGCCGTTGGTCCATACGAAGCAGAGACCGCTGCCCATAAATGTGTTTTGATTGCCTTAAAACCGGCTTTCTCCAACAGGAAAATAAGCAAAAAGATACAAGAAGTCTCCCCTTCTTAGTTCCACAGTGGGGAAATTTCAGTGTTGCATCAGCAGTCACAGAACAGTAGGAATGATCGGTAATGATAAGTCTATACAGATATAAACAACATCTCTAAAGAAGCAAGTATAAAATCTCTAACTTTTGCATATTGAAGCAACACGTTTTGGAAAAAGACCAATTGACTTTGTCCCGTTGGAGAATCTTGTCTTAAAACAGTCACAATGAGTTCAAATTAAGACAAAAACGACTCGATTACAGCAATTATTCCTCATAGTTTCTCATTTTTTGCAGTGAATGCTATTCCCCATCTCCATCTGGGACGTCCCGCTCCCAGAGGTGGCAAAAGTACTAGTCTGAGGCACTTAAGCAAAAATAAGAAGTAGAGGAAAGTACGGATAACGGCGGTCAATCAAAAGTAAACTAGCTCCGACAAAAATGATCCTTCCCTCACTTAAAGCTGGGGTATGTAACTTTGTCCTAATATATTGTACTTGTTATTTCCAAAACATAGAGTCATGTAAAAGTCAGATACCGTGAACGAATCCGACTACAACTTGCTGTTTTCATATCATTTGAAAAACCTGTTATATTTTGCATTGACGCTATGGGCTGAGAGCTGATTGGCTGAGGCAGAAAGGGGGCGTTTCCTCTGTTTTTTCCCTCTTTTCCGTCTGAAAAAGCTAATTTAAAAATGTCACAGAGGGTAAACTAGTGATAGAAGCAACTATTATAGACCAAGGACAATTAACGTGGATTTTATGACAACGTTTGAAAAGTTGGGTACCCCAGCTTTAAACCAAAAAAGTTATTTTTTTTTTGGTTGAGAAAGTGACGAATGATACATTTCTTTGAGACGCGTTTAAGCCTGACCCTAAACAACACCATACGGTCACTGACAGAGAATGTGGCGATCATCAAAACGTGTGGAACTTTAGTCGAACGGTCTGAGATGGTCTTAGAAGCACGGCTAACCACTTCAAGTCTGTGTGTGTGTTGTGTTGCCGTCTGCCGTAAGAGGCCTACATTTACAGATGTCTGCGTTTAAAAGTGAGGAGACATTTTAAAAGCTGCCAGAAAATACCAAAAACACTTCAATAGTTCTCAATACTAAGAAATAGCCCTAATACTTTTTGGTGGCTCCAATAGAATAGATTATATATATTTTTTAAAACGTTACTCTTTGAAGGTACCACAAGGTTCTGAGATCAAAATCATTCAAAGCCTGCTCAAAGAATCTCATATTTTTGGCCAGTTCTGTTATCACTGTCTGGTTCCCATGCTAGCTTTGGTGTAGATCCAATTTTTTATACGTTTGACAACCTTAGTATTTAAAGCTGGGGTACCTAACTTTAAAGCCATAACAAGATATTTACAGTTATTACAATTACAGTTCACATGCATGTACTTTGACCACACAATTACCAGTCCTCGCTCAGCCAATCAGCTTCTAGTGCGGCAAAAAGGCCACATTTTTCTTCCACGATTCTGTGCCTTTTCTATTTGGACGAACACAACTGTGATTATGAAACAAAACAAAAGTTGAGTAATCCATGTTTAAAGTACAAATACTTAGTTACTTGCCACCTCTGAGCCTGGGGTCATGCCGTGCCCCTGCTATTGTCCAGTTAGAGACCCATCTCCCAGCGTGACCCGGACTGAAGTCCAGCTGAAGGATTCTTGTTTGGACTGAAGAACTGAAGGACGTCACATCAGGAGATCTCTATGCAAACCACAGACCGGCTTTTTGCCTCGAGTCTGGTTTCTCTCGTGTCCAGAGTCTAGTCTCTTTTCGAGCACTATCTGGTCTCTCTTCAACCCAGAGTCCGGTCTCTCTCTAGCCCAGAATCTGGTCTTTCTCCAGCACTATCTGGTCTTTCTTTACCGCAGAGTCTGATCTCTATCAAACCCAGAGTCTAGTCTCTATCAAGGCCAGAATTTGGTCTTTCTCCTGCCTAGAGTCTGGTCTCTCTCTAGCCCAGAGTCTAGTCTCTATCAAGCCCAGAATTTGGTCTCTCTCCAGCTCTATCCAGTCTCTCTCTGGTCTCTCACTCATCCAGAGTCTTGTCTCCCTCGAGCACTACCCAGTCTCTCACCAGCCCAGAGTCCGGTCTCGCTAAGCCCAGAGTCCGGTCTCTCTCCAGCCCAGAGTCTGGTCTCTCTCCAACCCAGAGTCCGGTCTCTCTCCAGCCCAGAGTCCGGTCGGACCACTCTCTCTGCCCCCGTCTCTCTCACTGGGACTGATCCATGGATGTACCCAAGCTCAGCACTGCCTCCAAACCTTCCGGACAATATTTAATGCTGGAACCGACGAACTTGTAAATATAGAGTTTAAGGACTAACAGTAATTTATTACCGTAAGATCCAAATGTGCAGCATGTAAATAGAACAGAGAATTCCAGCTTTAAAGGGAACTTATTTTCTATATTCTCTCCAAGGATACTGTATATTGTATATATGTATAGATGCTATAAATTCTCCAGAGAATCTATGTTTTTTTCGGCTACAAGATGATTTATTGAGAATAGCCTATAGTGAAAGAAATGTCTAAATCCACTGAATGTGCGCCTTAAATGTATATGTTTTATAGAAGACATAAAGAAACTTGAAATCATATTGGGACTATGACGGATGTGCCTTGACCCAACTAAGACCCACATAGACTAACTTATCTCCGTGAACGATATCGCTGTTGTGTTGATGACGGGATTCTGACGGGAAAGCAGCTGTGCTTTTTTATCATGTGGATTTATAGTTACATACAACTGTAACAAACACATTTTTGCAATCAAGCAATAAAATATGTTGAAATACTTTTGTTGTGTTAATTGCATGGAAGGACCGGTGTGTACTAATTTCACAGCCCTAATGCACAGCAGCAGTCGTCTCGGAGGACTTCACTAACGACAGATCAAGAAGCCGATTCACCAAAGAAATTTAATGTCCATAAAGGTTGATCCGATGTCCATAAACGTTCAGTTCTTAAGATAATAATGCTTAGTCCATGCAAAACACATATAACACAAGTCTCCATGGCCTTGCATTATTTAAAGCTAGTTCCTTGAGTTTTCTTCAAGTTTGGTCTAAGTCCAAAACATGCAAATTCACAGAGTTACAAACACGGACCCCCTCTCTCCCATTCCACTCACACACACAAACACACACAGTACAGAGTTGTGTCAAATGAAGACGGAGGCAGTAGCGATCACACCTGTAACCCGGTGTATTTTTGAGTCCTTCCAGGTCAAACTGAAGGAGACAAGGCTCTTTTATATGGTCTATATCTACTGTATGTGCATAAGAACAGAAGAAGACGTCATCACTGGAGATAATAATAACACGCCGACTGTATGTGTTACAATGTGGGTCCGAACAAATACATTCAGTTTTTCAGATAACAACATGCAGGTCAGATTCCACGATTCAACACACAGTCATAAAAAGGACCCCCACACACCCACACACACACACACACACACAGCACAGAGTTGCATCTGCCCTGACACGGCCCTTGACTTGTGACTTTCCGCACATTGTCCCGCACTGTCCCCCCCTTTCTCTGCTCTGCATGAGGCTCATTTACACCGATGGCCGCCATGACACTCTCTTGAGTCGACTTTCTGTTGTCCGAGGCCATTGTCGCCACTGTCTCTGTGTAAAAACCACCTCTCTGTCAATCTCTACAATCTCTCTCCTCCTCCACAGGCTCCCAGCTATCACTCTCTCTTATCAAATCTAATCTACAGCATGCTCTTTCTCACCATCCAGGCTTTAAAATCAATGATTAGTAATGTTGTGTTAGAAAGAGGAGAGAGAGAGAGAGAGAGAGAGAGGGGAGGGGGCTCTCTCTCGGCGGTGAATGGCTGGAGAGAAGTCGAGTGGCGTCTTTGTGATGGAAATGTTAAGCACATAATAGTTGGGTGTCACAATGGGGAGGCACTTCATTCTTTCAGGCGGGTTGACACCTCTGGAGGCCGGAGCGGCAGCAGAGCATGTGGGAACGGTCTGTGCGACGGCCAGGGAGAAAACGGGAAAATAACAGATGATAAGAACTGAGGAACTCTCGCTCTCTGTCGGGGAGAGAGGGGAGGGATAAGAAAGGGGAGAGAGAGGGTGGGGATGAGAGAGGGTAGAGAGAGGAGAGAGGGGAGGGATAAGAAAGGGGAGAGAGAGGGTGGGGATGAGAGAGGGTAGAGAGAGGAGAGAGGGGAGGGATAAGAAAGGGGAGAGAGAGGGTGGGGATGAGAGAGGGTAGAGAGAGGAGAGAGGGGAGGGATAAGAAAGGGGAGAGAGAGGGTGGGGATGAGAGAGGGTAGAGAGAGGAGAGAGGGGAGAGAGAGGGGAGGGATAAGAAAGGGGAGAGAGAGGGTGGGGATAAGAGAGGGTAGAGAGAGGAGAGAGGGGAGAGAGAGGGGAGGGATAAGAAAGGGGAGAGAGAGGGTAGAGAGAGGAGAGAGGGGAGGGATAAGAAAGGGGAGAGAGTGGGTGGGGATGAGAGAGGGTAGAGAGAGGAGAGAGGGGAGGGATAAGAAAGGGGAGAGAGAGGATGGGGATGAGAGAGGGTAGAGAGAGGAGAGAGGGGAGAGAGAGGAGAGAGGGGAGGGGATAAGAAAGGGGAGAGAGAGGATGGGGATGAGAGAGGGTAGAGAGAGGAGAGAGGGGAGAGAGAGGGGAGGGATAAGAAAGGGGAGAGAGAGGGTGGGGATAAGAGAGGGTAGAGAGAGGAGAGAGGGGAGGGATAAGAAAGAAGGGGGGATGAGAGAGAGGGGAGAGATGAGAGAGAAGAGAGAAAGTGGTCTGTTATCTGTGGATGAAGGGCTAAAAGTGTGTTAATCATTTAACACTAGGAATCCCGGAATTCCTAAACTGGTAGAACTCCAGGAGCAGTCGTTTTGACGGCTCCCATTCCATTTATTTTTAGTTTTTTATTCAACCTTAATCTAACCAGGAATTTCCCATTGAGAACCTCTTTTTCCTGGATACAAATTTTATTCTGGAAAAAATTATGAAAACTTTCGCTTTTTGCTGGTTTTTATTGAAATTAAGCACCTTTTTTGTGTTGCCTTTACTCTATTTGAATTTGTGTTAAAAGTGATGAATATACAGAGAAAAACCGCAAAAACAGTCGGGCTAAACAGGAACGCTAAATGCTAACAGCTGTGAGTAAACACTGTGTTGCCATGGTAACCAAGCACCCGCCGGTGAAAAAAAAAAACACACTCAGAACCATAACAACAGGACATTACTATCAGTATTTGTGAGTAATTGTGGAGAAAACAAAACTATTCTTAAACCTGCGGTACCTAAGTTTCAATCCACACAAAAAATCAAACTAAATAATCATTTCCACCTCGTCCGTCTCTCTCTATACAGTTTGTTTTCTATCACTAGTTTTCACACTATGCATCCGTCACATCTTTAGATCAGCTTTTGCAGGCAAAAAAGTGACAAAGAGAGGACGCCTCCTTACTCGGCCAATCAGCTCTCCGCCCAAATCAACGCAAAAGATACCTCGCTTTCTACAGAGACTAAGACAGTATGTGGTCTGGTCTGTATCTGTGGGGACAAACTAAATATATTTGTGTCGAAAGTCTTCTACCCCAGCTTTTCAAAGTGCTATGATATTTCCCAGGAGCTGTCCCACCGGGAAGCCTCCTCACACGCTTTAAAAAAAACCATGGGTGAATGTGTGTAATTTCAGCGTGAAGCTTGGATCCTGGTCTGGGTCCACGTTCAGCTGGTCGGTATGCAGTGTGTAAGCCTCCCTCCCCTCCCTCCCCTCTCCCTCCCCTCTCCCTCCCCTCCCTCCCCTTTGGCACCTTTTCTTCCTTCGCCTCCTGCATTTGTCCCGGCACTTTAGAGCAGCTCGGAAAGGCCCAGCGTGCGTCGATTAGCCTATTATAACGCCTGCTATATGAATGAATGAGCGGGTGAATGAATGAGATGTGTGACAAATCTCTGCGAAACCAGAGACCAGAAAGAGACCAGAGACCAGAGAGAGACCAGAGACCAGAAAGAGACCAGAGACCAGAAGGAGACCAGAGAGAGACCAGAGGGAGGGAACAGAGACCAGAGACAAGAGAGAGACCAGAGAGAGGGAACAGAGACCAGAAAGAGACCAGAGACCAGAGAGAGGGAACAGAGAGAGACAAGAGAGAGACCAGAGACCAGAAAGAGACGAGAGAGAGGGAACAGAGACCAAAAAGAGACCAGAGACCAGAAAGAGACCAGAGAGAGACTAGAGACACTAGAGACAGAGACACTAGAGACATAAACCAGAGAGAGGAACCAGAAAGAGACCAGAGACCAGAGAGAGACCAGAGAGGGAGACCAGAAAGAGACCAGAGAGAGAGAGACAAGAGAGAGACCAGTTAGGGACCATGGAGTGAGAGTAGAGACCAGAAAGAGACCATAGAGAGAGACAAGAGAGAAACCAGAGAGAGGAACCAGAAAGAGACCAGAGACAAGAGAGAGACCAGAGAGGGAGACCAGAGAGAGAGAGACAAGAGAGAGACCAGTGAGAGACCATGGAGTGAGAGTAAAGACCAGAAAGAGACCATAGAGAGAGACCAGAGACAAGTGAGAGACCAGAAACCATAGAGAGACCAAATACCAGAAAGAGAGCAGAGAGAAAGACCAGAGAGAGAGACAAGAGAGGGACCAGAGAGAGAGACCATAGAGAGAGAGCAGAGACCAGAGAGAGAGACTAGAGACATGTGAGAGACCAGAGACAAGAGACCAGAGAGAAAACAGAAATCAGAGAGAGGACGGACTGGGGCTGTAGATCCAGGACTGAGGCTGGAACTGTCTTCCTGAAAACGTGAGACAGACTTCTTCTTCTCTGACAATGTTCAAATCCAGGTTAAAAACAGTTTCAGTTTCGCTGCAACAACTGAAGGACTTTATCTTCACTCTTTATAATGTTCTGTGATTATTTATGATTTTCATTCCTTCTGAGATGGTTTCAATCTTACTTTATTGAGTATTTTGAGTTTCCTTGTGTATAAACTGTGCCATACAAATAAACCTGCCCTACCTTTGTGGAGTTTAGAATCAGAAATTCTCCTTTTAGCAGGAATGGAGCTAAAAGTTGTCAGATTTTAAGGCAGAATGGAAGCGGACAAAACTAGTCTCAACACGATACACATGAGGTCAATGTGTAGTAACATCGTAAACTCAAAACAGTGATCAAATATGAGGTGATAAATGCTTGAATTCTGACTCTGGGTTATTTAGTTTTATCTCAAAAACTCAGGGAAACATTTCTGTATATTTTTAAAACTAGATAATTTAGCTTTGTCCCGTTGGAAAATCTTGTTCAAAGGCAGCCATCACTTTTGCGGCGTTTACATACTTTCTCAGTGGATTTGGATTTGTGTTTCTCTACACCAGAAGTTATGTGCTCAAGTGGGAGCCGACCATCAGCTCCTGATCAAGAAGGCCCAGCAGAGGATGTACTTCCTGCGGCAGCTCAGGAAAGCCAAGCTGCCTGCACAGATGTTGGTGCAGTTCTACACGGCCATCACCTCCTCCATCACCTCCTCCATCACCTCCTTCATCATCTCCTCCATCACCTCCTCCATCACCTCCTCCATCACCTCCTCCATCACCTCCTCCATCCCCTCCTCTATCACCTCCTCCATCACCTCCTCCATCACCTCCTCCATCACCTCCTCCATCACCGTGTGGTTCGCTGGAGCCACAGTCAGGGACAAACAGAGACTACAGTGCATTGTGGTCTCTGCAGAGGAAGTGATCGGCCGCAGCCTTCCATCGCTGCAGGACCTGTACGTCGCCCGAGCTCGAGGCCGGGCTGGTCGTATCACAGCCGACCCCTCTCACCCTGCACATGGACTATTCCAACCACTCCCCTCTCACCTGCACATGGACTATTCCAACCACTCCCCTCAGGCAGGAGGCTGCGGTCCATCAGGACTAGAACCTCCCGCCACAAGAACAGTTTCTTCCCCTCTGCTGTTGGACTCTTGAACACTTCTTAACCTGTCCCCCCACCCTTTATAAAGTCACTTTACTGCCCTTTATAAAGTCTCTTTACTGCCCTTTATAAAGTCCCTTTACTGCCCTTTATAAAGTCACTTTACTGCCCTTTATAAAGTAACTTTACTGCCCTTTATAAAGTCACTTTACTGCCCTTTATAAAGTCTCTTTACTGCCCTTTATAAAGTCACTTTACTGCCCTTTATAAAGTCTCTTTACTGCCCTTTATAAAGTCCCTTTACTGCCCTTTAAAAAGTCTCTTTACTGCCCTTTATAAAGTCCCTTTACTGCCCTTTATAAAGTCACTTTACTGCCCTTTATAAAGTCTCTTTACTGCCCTTTATAAAGTCACTTTACTGCCCTTTATAAAGTCTCTTTACTGCCCTTTATAAAGTCCCTTTACTGCCCTTTATAAAGTCACTTTACTGCCCTTTATAAAGTCTCTTTACTGCCCTTTATAAAGTCACTTTACTGCCCTTTATAAAGTATCTTTACTGCCCTTTATAAAGTCTCTTTACTGCCCTTTATAAAGTCACTTTACTGCCCTTTATAAAGTCTCTTTACTGCCCTTTATAAAGTCACTTTACTGCCCTTTATAAAGTCTCTTTCCTGCCCTTTATAAAGTCCCTTTACTGCCCTTTATAAAGTCACTTTACTGCCCTTTATAAAGTCACTTTACTGCCCTTTATAAAGTCACTTTACTGCCCTTTATAAAGTCACTTTACTTCACTGTACTGCTGTCACCTTACATTGTGTGCACCATGTGCACTTGTATATTGTAAATAGTAACTGTAACTCTATTTTCAATTTAAATTTATTCCTTAGAAGTGTTTTTTTATTCTTTATTTTTATTATCTCTTTCTGACTGTTGCACTGAGCCAAAGCAATTTCCAAGTGTGTGACTGTCTGTTACTTTCGTGGCAATAAAAATAATTCTGATTCTGATTCTTTATACAATTGCAGCAGTCTTGTTGGAGTTCTGAGAAAGTGCTGGGAAACCTGAAGTGGAAGCGTGCAGCAGTGGAGGACCGGGCAGAGGGGGAGGGGAGACGCTGGGTTTCATTTACACACTGTGTTTTTGTTCCAGCTCTTTGAGTGTGTGACTTATCTGCACCATCGAGGGTGCTCCGCTGGGAACACAACATCTGACACACACACACACAAACACACACAGATACATACAGGCACAGGTTCTCTCTAAGTGAAGTAGGAAAAGGCAAGGCAAGTTTATTTGTATAGCACAATTCATACACAAGGCAATTCAAAGTGCTGAACAAAACAAGAAAGCATTAAAATCATAAATAATCACAGAACATTAAAAAGAAAGATACAAATATAAAATCCCTCAGTTGTATGCACAGATAAACAGAACTGTCTTTAACCTGGTTTTAAACATCGTCAGAGAGGAGGCCTGTCTCACATCTTCAGGAAGACTGTTCCAGATTTTAGCAGCATGAATCTGAAAAGCAGCCTCCCCATGTTTAGTTCTGACTCTGGGCACTAACAGGAGTCCAGTCCCTGTGCTCCTCAGAGTCCCAGCAGGAGTCCAGTCCCTGTGCTCCTCAGAGTCCCAGCAGGAGTCCAGTCCCTGTGCTCCTCAGAGTCCGGGCTGGTTCGTATGGTACTAACATGTCACTAATATATTTTGGTGCGAGGCCATGGAGAGACTTGTAACAAGCAGAGCTGTTTTAAAGTCTATTCTCTGAGCCACAGGAAGCCAGTGCAGAGACCTGAGGACTGGACTAATATGGTCGTACTTCCTGGTTCTAGTCAGGACTAATGTGGTCGTACTTCCTGGTTCTAGTCAGGACTAATGTGGTCGTACTTCCTGGTTCTAGTCAGGACTGGAGCTGCTGCATTTTGAATGTACTGCAGCTGTTTTACAGCCTGTTTGGACAGACCTGTGAGCAGGCCATTGCAGTAGTCTAACCTACTGGAGACAAATGCATGGATAAGAATCTCCAGGTCTGCTTTAGACACTATGTTTTTGATCCTGGCAATGTTTTTTAGATGGTAAAAAGCTGCTGATGTTACTGATCAGGTCACACTCGCACACATGCACTCATACACATACACACACAGACAGACACACACACACACGCAAACACACACAGATACATACAGGTACAGGTCACACTCGCACACATGCACGCATACACATACACGCATAGACACACACACAGACACACACACACACACACACACAGATACATACAGGCACACGTCACACTCACATACATGCACGCACACACATGCACGCATAGACACACACACAGACACACACACAGATACATACAGGCACACGTCACACTCGCACACATGCACGCACGCACACACACACACACAGAGATACATACAGGCACACGTCACACTCGCACACATGCACGCACACACACACACACACACACACACACACACACACACACAGATATATACAGGTACAGGTCACACTCGCACACATGCCCACACACACACACACATGTCACACTTGCACACACACAAAATTGGAAAATCAAAAATTACATTCAAGTCTGGGTAGAAGGGAGCAGGACGGGACCAAGAAAGGACCAGTCAGCAGCGGCTCCACTCCGAGCTCCTCTCACGTAACAAACACATAGAAGCCATTTGTCCATAGGGAGCAGGAGAACACTGTCCATAAATGTGATTGATGGTCCTCAAACGACCATAAATGTCCTGAACTGTCCTTGGACACTTCTGCATTAACAAGAAAGAAAGAAAGAGAGAAACCCTGGGGAGGCCCACACTGAGAGAGATGTGCTCAAATAAAACACACAAACTCTGAAAACAACACTTTCACAACTACATCTGAAGTGTCACCCTCCACATGTGTGTACTCTCCTCATGTGTGTACTCTCCACATGTGTGTACTCTCCTCATGTGTGTACTCTCCACATGTGTGTACTCTACTCATGTGTGTACTCTCCACATGTGTGTACTCTCCACATGTGTGTACTCTACTCATGTGTGTACTCTCCACATGTGTGTACTCTCCTCATGTGTGTACTCTCCTCATGTGTGTACTCTCCACATGTGTGTACTCTCCTCATGTGTGTACTCTCCTCATGTGTGTACTCTCCACATGTGTGTACTCTCCACATGTTTGTACTCTCCACATGTGTGTACTCTCCACATGTGTGTACTCTCCACATGTGTGTACTCTCCATATGTGTGTACTCTCCACATGTGTGTGTACTCTCCACATGTGTGTACTCTCCACATGTGTGTACTCTCCACATGTGTGTACTCTCCTCATGTGTGTACTCTCCTCATGTGTGTACTCTCCTCATGTGTGTACTCTCCACATGTGTGTACTCTCCTCATGTGTGTACTCTCCTCATGTGTGTACTCTCCTCATGTGTGTACTCTCCTCATGTGTGTACTCTCCACATGTGTGTACTCTCCACATGTGTGTACTCTCCACATGTGTGTACTCTCCTCATGTGTGTACTCTCCACATGTGTGTACTCTCCACATGTGTGTACTCTCCTCATGTGTGTACTCTCCACATGTGTGTACTCTCCACATGTGTGTACTCTCCTCATGTGTGTACTCTCCACATGTGTGTACTCTCCACATGTGTGTACTCTCCACATGTGTGTACTCTCCTCATGTGTGTACTCTCCACATGTGTGTACTCTCCTCATGTGTGTACTCTCCACATGTGTGTACTCTCCACATGTGTGTACTCTCCACATGTGTGTACTCTCCACATGTGTGTACTCTCCACATGTGTGTACTCTCCACATGTGTGTACTCTCCACATGTGTGTACTCTCCTCATGTGTGTACTCTCCACATGTGTGTTACTCTCTGTTGTTGTGTAGTGGCTGCACTCGGGGTCGTGCAGAAAGTGATGTGAAAGAGTCGGACAGTTGGAATGAGAGAGATGAAGCGCTCAGAGGGAAAGTTCATTTAAAAGGATTTAGAAATGATCCCTGACGTTAGCACAGGGCTGAAGTTAGCACAGGGCTGAAGGTAGCACAGGGCTGAAGTTAGCACAGGGCTGACGTTAGCACAGGGCTGAAGTTAGCACAGGGCTGAAGTTAGCACAGGGCTGAAGTTAGCACAGGGCTGACGTTAGCACAGGGCTGAAGTTAGCACAGGGCTGACGTAATACATATTCGATTATTTATTTAGAAGAAACATATTTTCCAACGTAGAGTATCAATGAAAGTTCTTATTTGACTCCAACTACATCAAAAACAGTTCACACGCGCAACCCACACACACACACACATAGGCATAGACACACACACACACACAGACACTTACACAAACACATAGGCATAGACACACCCACACACACCCACACACATAGGCATAGACACACACGCACACCCACACACACACACACACTTACACAAACACATAGGCATAGACACACACACACACATAGGCATAGACACACACACACACACACACACAGACACACACCCTTACACACACACACACACACACTTACACAAACACATAGGCATAGACACACACACACACATTGGCATAGACACACACACACACACACACACACACACTTACACAAACACATAGGCATAGACACACAGACACACACACTTACACACACACACACACACACTTACACAAACACATAGGCATAGACACACACGCACACCCACACACACACACACAGGCATAGACACACACACAGACAACACTCTCCGACCCTACACCTCTCTCCCACCACTCGCCCTGTGCTTGAGGCCTCACCCTTCAATCTGTCTTTTTAATACCTTGCTTTACAAATAAACAGCGGTGACAGTGGGATTATGGAGCAGGGTTTCTCTCAGGACCAGAGGAGCCGGGCCTCAGCGCTGGTAACTGGATTAACCGAGACCTTTTCTCAAATCAAAGGCCGGTGAACTCAGCAGAGGTCCAGCATGATGGAATCAAAGTGGCAGCTGGAAGAGAACGGAGCAAAACAACACCGGCTTTCTCTAAAGGTTTGTGGCAGCAGAAGAAGCCGAGACGCTTAATGAGAGAGAGAGAGAGAGAGAGAGAGAGAGAGAGAGAGAAAGAAACCAGGGAGAGAGAGAGAACGACCAGATAGAGAGAGACCAGAGAAAGAAGAAAGACAACAGAGAGGCAGAAACCAGATAGAGAGACCAGAGTGGAAGAGGAGATAGACCAGAGAGAGACCAGAAAGAAAGAGGCCAGAGAGAGAGGAGAGAGATGGAGAAAACAGAGAGAGAGAGAGAGAGAGAGTCGAGATATACACCGGAGAGAGAGACCAGAAAGAAAGAGACCAGAGAGAGAGACCAAAGAGAGAGACCAGAGAGAGAGACCAACGAGAGAGAGACCAGGGAGAGATTACAGAGTGACCAGTAAGAAAGAGACCAGAGAGAGAGAGAGAGACCAGAGAGAGAGACTAGAGAGAGAGACCAAAGAGAGAAAGACCAGAGAGAGATTTGAGAGTGACCAGAAAGAAAGAGAGCAGAGAGAGACCAAAGAGTTAGAGAGCGACCAAAGAGAGATAGACTAGAGAAAGAGAGACCAGAGAGAGAGACCAGATAGAGAGACACCAGAGAGAGACTAAAGAGAGAGAGACCAGAAAGAAACCAGAGAGAGAGAGAGAGAGAGACTAGAGAGAGAGACGAGAGGGAGAGGGGATCTGTGCCTCATCATAAACGTCCCACTTAAGTTTACAAACCAAACTAAGAATTCTTATCTTTTTACAGATTTCACAACTAAGCTCATATAGTGTGTTTGTCACGATTGCATTTCCGGTTTGATTCTCTGATCTGTTGTGCAGGAATCGATTGGGTGAGGTTTTAGTTTTTTTTCACTTCTTCCACCGCAGGAAGTAGATTGAAAGGCTGTTGGCTGTGGCCCGGGGAGCGGCGGTCAGGGAGGGTTTCTCACTTCTCTGCACCCGCTCCTGTGTTTGCCTTTCACTTCCACCTCAGCACAAACAAACAACCACAGCCTCAAACAAACACCAGACTGAGGCAGGGGCCGGAGTGCAGCAGGACAGGGGCCAAGATCCTGCACGCACACACACACACACGCACACACGCACACACATGCA